AAACCGCATGACCTTCACTTCCGGTGAAGTGCAATAAAAACCGAACATAACTCAAAAGCGGAAGCATTTTACTACACACATCAAATTAGGAAAGTGTTTAGTGAGGAATGTCAGACAAATAAAACAGTGTGATGACGTCATCTTTCGAAAGGGCGCCCCCTAGCGGCACATAAAATAGTGTGAGCTTTCTTTAATTTGAAAACCATCCGTTCAAATTTTACCAAATCGCCCCTTGATATTCTTTGATTAACCACATATAACTTGGCAAGGTTTGAAATTCATGACGTCATCAGACCGGAAGTTACTTCTATGAGAATTTGAAAACGATCATATTTTAAATGTAATTCTATCAATTGATCCATGTCGATCTTAGCCCAAAAAAGATATCCATTACAATGTTCACCTTTGCTTCCAAATACTGTGTCGTCATCAAACCGGAAGGTGGGTGTTATGAATACATACGTTATTTTACTTGACAATGAACATCTCTTTCCGTTTTTGAATAATGACGTCATCAACCAAGAAATAACTTGCATACATGTGTACATAGAATGCTTACTGAAATTGATCACACCATTAAAGATGTATTTTTTTACTTGAAGATAAAAATAATTGATTTTACTGGCAATGATTTTATTTCGAAATCCTTTGTTCTTACATAAAAATATTCATAACTTAAAGGAAACATGCAGTGGAAATTCAGCTCATCTTGTTTTCATGCACATTACTATGTGTTGCAACAATACATACAAGATCTAAATACTTGTTTTCATTGGAAGTGACAAGAAAGTGGTAGTTTTTCAATTATTAGTAAATCCTTTCATCAATATATAAGAGAGCGCTATTTTGCTTTTGTCACACAAGGTACTCCTTGCCAAAGGTGCGTTATGAACAGTACAAAAATTAGTCCTTCAAAATTACCCACACAAATTTTTTTTGAAGAAATATTTGCCACTACGATTGTCCAAATAAGCTGTTTTACATGATAAACAATAAAAAGTGGAATTTACTCCAAGAAAATAAAGAAAACTTTGACATATAATTGTATACACAAAGCTATGGAGACACTACGGTTCTGCCTTGAATGACATCACGCTTTGGCTCATGAATATGGAAATTTTCATTAGCATAAAAGCTTAAATGTTGAAATTTCTCTCTTTTACTGCTACAAAGGAGGTGAAAACTTCATAGTTACATGGCAAGAAAGCTGTTTTAAATGTATTTAAGTCATATAAATCCTATTACATGTTCCCTTTAACTGGACAGTGTTTCAAAAATAGTTGTCTACCCGACCACTCTGCGTTTGTAGCAACAAATGCGAAACTCTAGTTAGTAATTGTTTTATTTATTATTCATAAATACCCAAAACAGTTTACGCATTCCTACTGGTCGAGAGCTTCGACGGCGCAATGGCATGAAAAAAGCCAGTATCAGAATTTTTTTTCTCAGACAAGCGTTAAAAAAAAAATGTGTAAATTCATACCTACATGTATCTTTATATATAAGAGAGAAATTTACTCGGCCTCCGAGACGATGTTTGCTCCTGAAAGGATCAGAGACCGCGAGCTCCCGCGGCGCCAAAATCGCTCCACTTCGTGGAAAAATGCGGAGGGTGTCTTCCGCCGGGTCGGACACTTCGGGTCATCCTAATTTTCCGGTACGGACCGGCGATCCGTTTCGTCGATTTTTCGTGACTGCATTTTGCACAGGAAATTCACGTTGACTGCCTGGCCGCCCCCTGTGCTGGCTTTTCTGCGAGTCTAGACTGTGCGAGGTCAGCGGCTTCGACGTTAGGGTTCCGTTTACGTGTTCTACTTGGCAAAAGTGTTCACCAAACGGTTGTATGGGGTGACCTTGGTGAAATATTTTTTTGTACATGGTGCGTGGCCACCAAGTGTCCCTATTCTTTCATATGCTTTGCTTGCCGCCCCTGCGCTGAGTGCAACGAATACTCAGAATGACTACACATTAGTATGCCTTGCGCGGTCTGACCAATCGAAGGTCTACACTGTGTACTTCCGGGGTCTGCGTAAAACCGTCGATGGCAACGCGTACTGCAGCATGCTCCACACCCTGGAAACAAGGTTGGATCTACAGTACTCGCTCTTGCACAAGCATGTGACGTCCCGTGATAGAGTGCTGTTGCTTCCATAATGTGTTTACAGCTCCATGCTTCCACTAGCTCTATGCTTCCACCAAGGCTGAGCGTTGTGAGTTCACTGCCCGGCCCGCCACGCCACGGTATAATTCAGAGTCGCGTTATAATTTCGGGGGCCTGTTTGGGATCAAGAAGGATCGATGCATTGCTTCAAATATCGCGATCTTAAACGCAGTCACAAAAAATCGACAAAACGGATCGCCGGTCTGTACGGAAAAATTTGGACGACCTGAAGTGCTTGACTTGGCGGAAGAAATTCTCCGTATTTTTCTATGGACGTGGAGCCATTTTGGCGTCGCGGGAGACCGCGGTCTCAGATCCTTTCAGGAGCGAACATTTCTCGGAGGCCGAGTAAAACTTGCTCTTATATAGATGGTTGACCAACTTGAATAAAAGTTGAATCGACTTTTTCCTCGCAGACGGTCTCGCAAATTGTAAGAAGTTCAAATTAACGTTTGTTGAAGAGTCCAATGCTGAAACTTAATTATGACCTTCCTCCATCATTCAGACCGTTTGTAATTTTATGGTAACACTCAGCATTTTCATTAACTATAACTATAACTTACAACATTTATAATGCGCTTTCCACCATGTTTCAAAGCGCACAGTTGTTTCTTGTACAATTATCAATTTACTGATCAAAGGCTTGTGAAAAAAGAAAGCTCTTAAGTACTGTCTTAAACGAGTCCAATGAATCAGTTTCACGGATGTGGATGGGAAGAGAGTTCCAGAGTTTCGGGGCTAGCACAGAGAAGGCACGGTCGCCATAGCGGGTTTTGGTTTTAGGTCCAGGCAGTAACTGAAGATGGGCTGTAGAATGTGATCGGAGGTGGCGGGATGTAGATGAAATGGCTGTGGACCGGGTAGATACGAGCTTCTGGAGGTATGATGGGGCAAGGTTGTGAATGACAACTTCACGTTTGATTGCATTATGATTCATTGTCAAAACTGTACAATCAGCCTTCGCCTGTGTACTACGGTAACCTTTTCACTACGTTTTCCCGGCAATGCAACTGCCTCACAAAATGCCAATTTAACAGACCAAAGGGAACATTTACAGACAGTTGTCATGGTACATAATTATCATGTGCGTAAATCGGTGGGGAACAGGGGACCCCCCCCCCCCCCCCCACATTTTAAAGCGGGGACATTGTTTGGTCCCCCCCTCCACTTTTTCTTCCCCGAATAAAAATTGTAGCCTACTATAATGATTCTATTGGTCAGAATACCGTGTAGCTGATTTAATTACCCCAAGCTAGAAAATGATGTTTAAAAGATGATTTTTGCTCAAATTGGTTTTAGTGGTCAGAAATTGCCTCAGATCACACCACAGAAATTGCTTTTCTATAACTGCATGTCTCCCCAACTATATCCCACATTTTCATCCCCAACACTACGCCCTGCCCAATCTATGATCGGGTAAATCAGCTTGTACTCAATAATGTTGACTTGCCAGGCGGGCTAACAATAATAATAATAATGAACATTTATATACCGGTAGCGTCAAAACCCGCCTAAAAGAGACGCTCAAGGCACTTTACAAGTTTAAAAAAGAAGAAATCAAGCTGTTTTCAGGCTACTAGAGAATGGTTTTGACTAGCCCGCCGCTATTTTGACACGCATGTGGCTAGCGGGCTACCACTAAGGTTGAATCCTGTAGGTAACACTTTACACAACTTCAAGAACTCAGACCAGTAGGTTTTCCTTTGCGTACTTTTGAGCTCTCCTGAGACGTTTTGGATGTAGGCTTACGAATATTGATTTTGTTGGTGACCTCTACGTGTTTAGCCTCTGCCTCCATCAGTTCTTGATACTTGCCAGCAAACAAGTTATTGCCTGCCAGTGAGAGGTCATCGAAATGCTTACGAGCCCCTTCACTTGGTAGATATACAGTCTTGGCCCAAGATGATAGTGATTGATATTGGATCGTGATTGGACTAGTGCGCCTGCTCGTGCTTGGGAATTCTGCAGTAGCTGTTATAACTTTTTAATTGTTGAATCACTTCTCGGTGCCGACGTTTTCTGCACTGCGGTGATTTATTATCAGACGAATCCTCGTCGGACCCCGATGAAGAATAGCGGTGTCTAGATCAGCTTGATTTCTTCGACTTTTTTGACGAGCGGGCTCAAGATCTACTGGATTTAGTCTCGGAAGATCTGTCCACCATGGGAATCCCTGAACATGGAATGTATGATGATGTCAAGGATGTCCCGAAAGTGGGTAGCCCAATAACTCTGATCCGTCCTGGTCCGATGTTCACACACGGAACATTGAGCGGGTTGGCAAATATTTACCGTGCTCTGCCTGACATGCAGGGTCTCCAGTCTGGCGGGATGGCGAGACATTTTGTCTGCCAAGCCATGCACTGAAGGGATAGGCAATCTCGCAGCAATGCCCTTCGGAAGCAACATAATTTTCTCCTTTTTATTTGCTTTCACTTCATGGAAAAAACATCCAGATGACACAATAAGGTGTTCTGTGATTACTTTAATTATATTGCAACTCTTGACAATATTTGGAAACAGCAGGTAAGTAAAGTCCTCAATCTGTGGAGGTTCTTTGAAACCCATCCTGCCTGTCCTGTCACTGAGAGAAAAGAGGAAGCCAAGATGGTTTTCGTGACACAGGGCAGTATGGGTAGCATAGTAGGGGGCGCTGTTGTACAAACTCTTAGCAAATGGAACCTGCCGGTAAGGGGAATATGCAAATGGGTGGCTCTACAGGTAAGTTGAGTGAATTAGACTCCTATTGCATCAGCTTAAATTTTAGTACATATGTACTTGTCATACTCGGAAGAGAACTCTACTTCAAGTACAACATTGGATGGAAATGGATACATACCTCAACCATAAATTCATCACCCAAATGTGCTGCTATGCAAAGAGGTGTCATGCCTTTATTGTCGGTTGCTTCAACATCAGCTTGGTGTACCAGCACAAGGTTTAAGACTAGTGCTAAGTGTGACATCCCTTGTCGAACAGCTCTGTGGAGCAGCAAATTCCCAAGAGAATCTTTGTCTCTGTTAACATCAAACTCCAGTGTCTATCAAAAAGAAATGACATTACAACATAAAAATCCAAGTGACACTTTCTTATCGTCAGAATGTCACTATATCAGAACGTATTCTCGTCAGCTGATGGCTTCACTTCACCGGAAGAAATTTGATCCTGGGAAAATTTTCATCAGCAACTGCTTGACTATGAATGACTGTTTTATATAATAGAGGTTTCAGACAGCAGGTGGTTTCAGAAGAGCAATTTGTGGTTTTCAGAGTCTGCCCTTTGATTGCACAACATAAATATTAAAGTTTACATTGACTTCTTGGGTTGTACATGATTGTTGATCTTCAGTGGCCTAAATGCACAACTATTTTCAATAAATATTATATTCAGTGTACTATGTCCAGTAATGAAACTATTTTCTTTCTTTATCAATGGAACTGGTGTCCATTCACTGGAATTGGTGTACAAACAAAAGGCAAAAAAATATGGTGTAAAAATCCTGAATTCTGGGGCTGTACATGAACATATATGCATAATGTGCGGTATATACCTTCTTGACAAATGAATTTAATACCCATTAAAGGTAGGAGTTTGCCTACTTTTGATAATGACACAAATTTATGGGGTTTTTATTTTTGGCCCTTTCATTTGAAATTCATTGTAAAGCAACTCATACCCTCCATTAAATGTTTGTACCCACCCCTGTAGCATGTGAAAACAGTATATGCAATGCCCCACCTGTGCGATATGCCACACCTGTGCATGTGCACATACATGTAGACCACTTGCTTTGTTGGTTGCTATGCTATAAAACAAGGCTACAGGTGCATGTATTGTCTTTCTTGCCATTAGTAAATTTTTACCATTTGGAAACTTAATAGTGAAAGTACCCAATATTATCAGGGCAACAGAGTTTGGTTAAGTGAATAACAATCTGTGGTGGAGGTGTCATACTTCTGTTACACAACGATGTATTAGATGATGCATACCACAATAATGTAAAGCAGCAAGCGAACATAGAAAACAGTGATTTTAATTTATCTGATGGGGCTTAGGCCAAATAAAAACACAAACATGTTTAGCGTCCCTGCCCACTTCCTTTTTTGAGGCCGCCTCCTTTTTCTTTTCTTTTTTTAAATGAAAAAATGATAATTTTTGACAGTGACATCATTTTGGCCTCTTTGTCTGTTGTATCTAGCCCATATAAAGCTGGTATGACAGTTCCTGAGTCCAAGTGACGGCCATTTAAAAAAAAAACTGGCATTCATCTTGAAAAATAGCCTGGTCGGGCGGCCATTTTGGAGGGGAAAAAAAAGGGCCTCGTCCTTCCTTTTTTCAAAAAAGGGTTGGCCTTATACTTACATGGAGCATAATCTGGAGGTCTTCAAATGACTCTGAATCAGATACAAGTTCAAAGATATGACTTTTTTCTTCAAATGAAGCCACTTGTTTCTTTTGCATTCGAAGAGATGTTTGGTAACGTGAAGGAAGTTCTTTTCTTGTATAGGAACAGAAGCACAGTTGATCTGGTGTCTGACCTACAAGTATATGTAGAAAGCAACATACTGTTGTGTTATTGAAAACAACACGTTATGGAAAGCAACATACTTTCATGTTATTTATCTGAGCGTAAACATACAATTTTTATAATATGATAGCATCATGATACTGAGTCACATTAGCTACACATCATAATCAGTGTAATGAACTTGTGTACATGTATGACAGCTATTTGTACTCCTTGTATTCAGTTGTCAACATGCTGTGCATGCATTTTCCAGTTGTTTTTTATAACAATGTGACACTACTGGAGCTGTCGTTTTACATGTACTTCACAAATTGTGACGTACATTTTGAAAAAGCTGCTTAAGTTATATTCACAATCACAAGATGTGCTGTCCAAAAATTGGGACATCTGATGTCTGATATAAGCTCCTTATATAACCTCCAAGTAACACAAGCATTAATATATCGTGAATATCGCACATCACGAAGTATCATTACGAGCCTAAATTTCATGTTGTCATGCAAAGGGCCTGAATTTCCTTAATTTTACATGACATAAAAATAAACAATTGTAATAATTATAAATACATGTACAGCACTTTCCATCGTAACACAATCTCAAAGCGTTTTAAAATGATTCCCTCGTTCATCAGGCCACAAGATCACGTGGCAGCAGATATCAGCGCAGTTCGGTCATCTACCCTCACAGGTTACCATTATTATGATAATAATAATAACTTTATTTATTGATGGTAGCCATGTCACCTCATTTATGATTTTCAATGGGCCATCATTAAAAACTCAGTATAAAAATACATTGAAAGATTTACGATACAGTATACCGGTACATAAAATAAATCAATACATGTAAATATACAGGAGGCTTGAGATACAATCAAATTCAACACTCGAGGAGACCCGGCCAGTTCAGACTCCCAGAACATGCAGACCAGAGAGACAGAGACTAAAGAACAGGACACAAAAATCACTGACTATCAAAGATTGCCAACCTTAAAACTTGAGGACTAATAAAAACATGAAAATCATAAAAAAAACTATTACAGACTTCATTCATGGAGAGAGGCAATTGTAGTTAAGTGTCTTACCCATGGGTATAAACACTATGTTCCTGGCAGGGTTCGAGCCCACGCACCATCGTACATGAGTACACGGCAGTGAACTCAGGGATTTTTTGCATTTTATAAATGTTTATGCTATGTTTGTCCTTTGCAGTCACTTTTTTTGAGTGTTTAATACAGTTAAAGGTTGTTCACAATGCTTAGAATAATTCCAAAAATAAAGCTTTATCACATGACGCCACATGCCCTGCGATGACGTCATCTTGAAAACCCTTCTCAATGCACATTTTGTCATTGTGGTCTTGGTTTGAACCACGTTTAAAGTCAGTCTGATGAAAGGAAGTGTGCGATTTTGGAAGCAGAATAAAGTTATAAATATTTTAAAAATCATGAAAAAACGTGACGTCACTTCGGACTTTGCATACTAGTACCATTATCTACCTACCCACCAAGTTTCATGACAAACGGACCTTTCCTTATGTGTTTTGAAAAATCGCATTTTTGATGACGTCATGATGACGTCACATACTTTTCAAAATTTTGTGCAAATACCTATTACGTAACTAACCAAATACAAAAAAATATTGTGAATTTTGCATGTTGCGTTCGTGAGATATGGCTCCAAAAGGTCCAAAAATAAAGGATAAGGTCCAAAAATTCAAATATTCATATAAAATCACATGATGATGTCATCATGACGTCACCTCATTTTTTACCTATAACACATACTGGTCTACCCACATACCAAGTTTCAACCGAATCGGTCTTAAAGGTCTGTAGATATAGGACTTCAAAATATGCACGTCTGTGATGACATCACGTGACCCATGATGACATAATCATGACGTCACTCTTCGGGACACAACTTTGCTATAACGACAATGCATGTGCTTAATTTGAATGATGTACGACGAAGATAAATGCCAAAAGTGGCATGTACTAAAATCGTGTACAAAGTCTATGGGATTTTGCATGGAACAAAAAGAAGAAAGTATTAAAAAAAAAAAAAAAACTAGAGCTATATCTGTTCAAACAGAACATGGGTTTTTTGCATTTATAAATGTGAATGTTTATGATATGTTTGTACTTTTGCAGTCACTTTTTAAAGTGTTTAATACAGTTGAAGCTTGTTCAAAATGCTTGGAATAATTCCAAAAATAGAGCTTTATCACTTGATGACGTCACATGCCCTGCGATGACGTCATCTTGAAAACCCTTCTCATTGCACATTTTGTCATTGAGGTCTTGGTTTGAACCAAGTTTAAAGTCAATCTGATGTAAGGAAGTGTGTAATTTTGGAAGCAGAATAAAATTATAAATACTAAAAAATATCTACCTACCCACCAATTTTCATGACGATCGGACCTTTTCTTATATGTGTTTTGAAAAATCGCATTTTTGATGACGTCATGATGACGTCACACATTTTTCAAAATTGTATGCAAATACCTATTACCTAACAAACCAAATACAAAAAGAAATTTTGAATTTTGCATGTTGCGTTAGTGAGATATGGCTAAAAGGTCCAAAAATTAAAATATTCATAGGAAATCGCATGATGACGTCATCATGACATCACCTCATTTTTTTATCTATAACACATCCCGGTCTACCCACATACCAAGTTTCAGCCCAATCGGTCTTACAGTTCTGTAGGTAGGACTTCAAAATATGCACGTTTGTGATGACGTCATGTGACCCCTGATGATGTAATCATGACGTCACTCTGCGGGACACAACTTTGCCATAAGGACAATGCATATGCTTAATTTGAATGATGTGTGACGAAGTTCAATGCCAAAAGTGGCGTGTACAAAAACCGTGTACAAAGTCTATGGGGTTTTGCATGGAACAAAAAGAAGAAAGTAGGGAACAAAAAAAATCAGAACAGAAACAAAGGCTTTTTCGCTGAATTGCGAAAAAGTAAAAAAAATCAGAACAAAAACAAAAGCTTTTTCGCAAATTTGCGAAAAAGCCAATGAGATTTGGTTAGCTTGAAAGAAGGTAAAAATTAAGATCAGGTCAGATGAGCCATTTCTCTTCAGAACTACAACAATTCCCCCAAACGCCAAGTACCGGTACAACGGGGTATTTTCTTGATTAAATCCCTCATTACAGTGCTCATGAACAAAATGCCATAAATTCATTTGAAAAATCATATTGCACAAAAGCCCTATGCTCTGTTCATTGAACAGACGTAGTTGATGTCTAGATTTGTCCAAATTAATCTTCTTTGTTTCTTTTTTTTTTTGGACAATAATTCTCCGCATTTTTTTCTCCTAAAACGGTATATCAAAATTATGAACTTTTAACTTTCAAAATGCTTTCAGGTCAACTCGGTCTGTGACCAACTCGGTCCGAGTCAACTCGGTCCGTAACCAACTCGGTCCGTGACCGACTTGGTCCGTGACCAACTCGGTCCGTGACCAGCTCGGTCCGTAACCAACTCGGTCCATGACTAACTCGGTCCGTGACCAACTCGGTCCGTAATCCGTAACCGAGTTGGTCAAGGACCGAGTCGGTCACGGACAGAGTCGGTCACGGACCGAGTTGACTCGGACCGAGTTGGTCACAGACCGAGTTGACCAGCACCCTTCAAAATATATATATCAACCCTCAACCTGAGTGGTGCATGTTACCCTGACGTCATGATGATGTCATCGGGTGTCAAATTACAAGCGATTTTAGCTGAAAAAACAACGATCTTCTTTCACCTATAACTCTTGAACAAAATGATTAATTATTTTCCAACCTTGCAATCAGATAAACCATTACTTTATAAACACTTTTATTCCTGTACGTGAACTCGCTTGACCTTTACCTCTGGGTCTAACCAGGCGCGGATCCAGGATTTCTTTAGATGGGGGGCACACCTTTAGAGCATTTGCTCCGAGGACTAATGTAGTCAGGTGGCATATGGTCGGAATCGTGACCGACTGGTCCAAAGCACCAAACTTGGCAGATAGATTCTTATAGCCCTAGAGAAGATATTTAGAAGGGGTGACACCTGAAATTCTTTTGGGAAGGGTGCCTAATTTGCATAAATCGTTAATCCCTGCCGTGTAATATATTTATTCCCATATTTGGGTATTTTGTTATTTTTTTATTTTTTTGAAAAGTGTATCTTGGTGATTCTACTTGCATATTCTTACTTCAATAACATTTTGTAAAACATATAAGTGACTGAATAATTAGGAGGACATACTAAAGAACCAAAATTGCTACTATTTTACCCTAAAGTTACGCACATTTACCTTTTCCTCAGATATCATCAACTAGTCTCGCCAAACGTGGGTATTGATGAGCTTCAAATTCACAAAGTTACTTACTGGGCAGGCATAGTTACCCTAACAAAAATAAGTGGGAAATCAAGTGAAAATTGATAACATCTTGATGTTTAGCCCAAAAGACCAAAAAAAGGGGAGAAAATGTGGTGTCCGTAAATTGGGCTAGTACAGGAAGGGTAACGTGGGGACTTGAACAAGTTCAACGAAATCCCCCTAAAATAGAGATTATTGTTGTTTAAAAATAATTTTGTCTACGCCAAAACGTTTTCTCAACAATAATTTTGGGAATTTCCTTGAACTTGTTACAGTGTTCCTTGTTAGGCAACCCTTCACCTACTTGTTAGCCCAATTTATGGACACCTCGTTTTTTCCCAGTTTTTGTTTTCTGGGCTAAATATCAAATTTTATCATTGTTCACATGATTTTGCATAAGGTTTTAATATGGTAACTGTACCAGTAAGCTACTTGGTGAATTTGAAGTTCATCAATGCTGATGTTTGGCAAGACTAATTGATGATATCTGGAGACAAGGTAAATGCGCGCAATTTTAGGGCATAATAGTAGCCATTTTGGATCGTTACTATGTCCTCATAATTATTCAGTCACTTATATGCTTTGGAAAATGTTATTTAAGTAAAGATATGTAAGTAGAATCCCCAAAATACA